GGGTTCACGTGTATGTATGCAGCACCTTAAAAACAGCTTAAGCACATCGTACTGGGAACACCTTGCCACAAGCTGTCCATCCAACAGCAATGGTCCTGCAACAGAAGGGTTCATGTCGCGTAACCTGACAACCCCTCAAACAAGCTCAGACCAATCAGCACAGGCGTATCCCGGCGTGGACTCACGTCTCAGAGCTTGAGAACAGTCCTGGGCGTGCAACATGGATCTCTTCTCAGAACAAGAATGAGGATCTGACTATTCTGCCTAGTCTGAGCTGGCTCCCTGTGAGGATCCACCACCACTCCCACCACCACCCGCACGGATCGCTTCCACCGCGATCCTCATAGGCTGATGGGATCTCACAGAGGGCCGTTGTCGCCCGAATGATAGAGGTCTCAAATATTGGACCCTGGAAGGGAAAACAAGCAAATACATGGGAAGGAAGCGAGCGAAAGGAAAAGAAGAGGGAGAAAAAGCAAGAAAAATCCCCGATGATCCTCGGTGCATGGGAGTGATGGTCTGTGATACCTGAGTGGAGGATGGGTGGATGGGTGGGTGGATGAGATAGTACACTCTGAAAATGGAAGTCAGTGATGACCCCCCCGACCCCCAATCCTCCCCTGAAACTGGAAGCCTCACTGAATATCCTAACCTGAAGTATACTTAGATGCTGATCAGGCTGGCCAGTGGGAGCCGAGTTGCTGGACCGGGGCCCCGATCCTCAATAGCATGGGATCCCCTGTCTGGGTATAAGGTTGACTTGGCACTGGGGGATCCTCCCCTATTGACGGCCGGTCGCCTGTCCGTAAGGAAAAACTTCCCTGCTTACACACCATCCGAACTCCATCTGCCCATCCCCCTGGGTCTGATCATTCCGTGGCAGCTACCCTCCGCTTGTCACATCTGGCCGGGATACTGTCTAGTGTGACAATCACCACCCGCCATGATCGTACCATTACTAACAGGGGAGAGAGGGGGATGAGATTGTATTGCCCACTCCAACTTTCCATGCACTGGCTCGAATTTAGTGCGATTGGAACCCAGCATGGCCATGCATATGTGGATATGTGGGCCTATCTGGGCGTCGATTGCCATGGCTTTCCTTTTCCCCCTCCGTAGTAGTGCCTTCTGCCTCATCACTAACTAGCTTACTCCGGCCACGCCGTGTTGAACGCGACGTTCAGCTGCGACACTCAACGCCACAGAGCTGAATCTGTGGCGGTGCGTTTTCGAGCGTCAGCCACATGTAGATCACCGGACTAGTGAGGGCCTCAGGCCCAGACGATCTTCCTGCTAGTGAGTATCACCGGCCTGTCTTTAGGCGTTCTCCGAATAGCGTGACTGTCAGCACCAGGACTTGCAGACTTGACTCAAGATGACTGCCTCTGGGTGATGGAACCCAAAATGCTTCACCGCGATTTGTCATGGCATAACAATAGCCTCTTCGATCGATAGGCTCTCAGCGAAGCCGCCACACGGCACTTCGATCTGCCTGCCTATTTTCTATCCTAATCTTGTTTAACTCCGTGATTGTGCCACCGTGCTCAACGCTCAGGGCGGCTAACTTCCCTGACGACCCCGTCATCGTGTTCCAGGTTCCCAGGTTCGAACCAGGGCTGACGGAGTGTGACGAGTTGGGTTGCTGTACAAGAGATCACATCGTTGTTGCCTGAGCTGCAGCAACGGTGAATGATTCTCGTCACGAGTGGGCTTCAGTTGACTGGCCGATCCACTTCCCTTCTCTCGCCGTCTGATAATCACTCTGCTTCTCATTGACTAGTGATACAGTGTAATACCCATAAGCACCACAAACCAAAGACTCCTCTTTCCAACCAAAATGGCAAGAAGGGGGAAAAGCGTAAAAAAGAAAGAAGAAAAGAAGGAAAGATGTGACTCCACCTCCTCCATCACAGCACACTCCCGGCAGGCCTACATCATCCCTTGCATAGGGCGTCAGACGCAGCTTGAGGGAGGGAGGATGGGCCAGATGCACCTCGCTGGGCCATGGACGAGCTCAACTCGATCTCCGGCGCCGAAGCAGCAGGGATCGCGCCGATCGAAGTTCGCCGTCAACAAGTCGACCCATCTCTTTTCCAGAATCTGATCGCCCCCTTCTCTCAACGAGGCGATCCTCTTCGGGTCTGCGATGTGCAACCGATTCCCGCCACTATTGCAAGTTTTCTTTTTCGTTCCCTTCCCCCTGGAATCTGCAATTGTGCTGCTGGCTCGTGTCCTCCGAACGGGCAGCCGCCGCTGGGTGGCCCCTACTACTGTACAGGATGTATGCACATAGGGGATTCCGTCCTTTTGGCACAATCCGTTTGTTTCGTGTTGTTTCGCCACGTCTCATCCTCTCACACACATTTCTCTCTCAGATCATCTTTTGGACCGTGTGTTTCGGCCACCTACGTATTCCCAGAAGACTTGGGTGCAGTCGTAATGTTCGGGAGGTTCCTAAGTATAACCATTGCAGCAGCCACTATGCAATAAGTCCCAGCTCTGCTATGGCCACTTCGCGTTACCTACTCAGGTACTACTGGCTTGTCTGCCTACTTACCTATTCCTCCGTCCCGCGCGACGGGACCCAGAATCCCGGAAGTAAAAAAGAAAAAATAAAATAAAATAAGAAAAAGAAAGCGAGAAGAGACAGACCTACTTCCAGCAACCCCAATCGGTTCGGGAGGAAAGAAACACTCGAAACTTGTCGGTGAGAGCAATCCAGGTCGGTGACCAGCAACCCACCGCGCGCAGCCGTTTAACTTAATCTTCTGATATATTGCGCTCGGCTTTCCGAAAATGCCTCAGCGGATGAGATCTGTCACGACAGGGCGAGCGAGTACCAGAGAAGCGGTCTTGAGCTAAGTTGACTTTCGCCGGTGTGGAAATGCACTGACGGTCTTGTCTGTTCCTAGGGCTGTTGTCACCGACATGCATACATACAGTATACTTGGTATAGTTGCGTACTTACAGTAGTCAACCAGTCTATTATTCGCCCGTCGAAAAAAGGGCTGGCTGGGGTGCTCCATACGGAGTCCTCCCCGGATTGTTTCTCCATCGGAGCTGATCTGAGCTGAGCTGAAGCAAGCTCTCTTGCCACTTCCTACTTTCGGGTCCTTGATTAGTCTACCTAGTCTTGCTTAGTACCTACCTACCAAAAAGCAAAGCGGACTCAATGATCTGCTGCTGCTTCACCGCTAGCTAACTATCTAGCATGGAGCTTCCCTCTTTTACTTTTCGGAGGGTCTGTCTGCTTGCCTGCACTGTGCTTACTGTAGGTACAGCTTCTTCCCCCAGCACTTACTACTTACTAACCTGTCTACTGTACGAAACTACTTACGACCCGACACTAGTCTATCATGTCTCCTTGGGAGTTAGACAGACGCACGGAGAGTATCCTGCTTACTTACGGAGTACATGATCTACTTATATTCCCTCTCTTTGGGGAATGGGGGACATTGGCGCTACGCTATGTGCTATGTACTAACCTGCAGACAAGCAGCAGCAGCAGCAGCAGCAGCAGCAGCAGCAGCACTAAGCTCCATGTTCCACAAGACAGACGACAAGCTCTACTGTATACTCTGTCTCGAGCTAAGCTAAGGTAAGGGTCTGGTGAGTAAGAAGATAGTCCATCACATCACAGACAGGCAAGCAAGCAGTCAACACGGCACGGAATACTCTTTAAGATTTCCGGTGTGAGACATACAGCTTTCACTGTCACTACTCCGTATACCACTTACATATCCTAACCCGTACTGTAGGAGAATAGAGATGCCTACTACCCACATCCAGTACTTACCACTCACTCTAGATAGACAGACACTTACTACCTCTGAAACCTAAGACCAAACTACCAGTAACAATGGATATCACCATCACCGCTGCGTCCCTCACCACTTTAAACCGTCAATAAACTCCATTGACGTAGTTAGTCAATCGATTATACAGATCAGTTACTTAACTTCCTTCTAATACTGTACTATATACGTACTTGACCTCAGGTAAAGAGTTGTAGTCAAATAACACTACCCAAATGAACCCATGAATCAATCTCCATTATCGCTTTCCACAATAACCACCAAGTAGTAGACTAAAGTATAGTAGGAACAAAGTATGTAATTATATTAAAGCAAAACACACGCACCTTCTCCCCAAGCCCCATCTATCCATACATTACTACGATCATCCACATACAAAAACCACCTCCCAAATCTAGTACTACATATGAGCAACCCATCAACCTACCATGCTTATCTTAGACCGATACAGAAATCCTCCAAGTAGAATCAGTTCGATCTAGATCACATCACACCCAACCCCCACCGTAATGATTTCAAAATCTTTGGGGTTATCTGCAATTTCTGCGTTGGGTTATATGAGGAGAGAGAAGGGCAGTAGTCAAGGGACGTACGTACGTACGTTAGTTAGTGGCATGCAAGGTAAAAAGAATACTTAGAAACGAGTGGAACGGTATTGAAGGACAAGGAAGGCAAGCGAAGGGTGGAAAAAACGTTGGGGGGTTTGTTTGGGTCGCTCTGGTGATGGTGGATGATATGAGATGTGTCATATTTGGGGTACGTACAGTAGTTAGTAATTTACTATGAGATCGACTAGTTGCGTTGTTTGTTGTTGGTGGGTAGAGACTACTAGGTAGGTATGTATGTATGTATGTAGGAAAACGATTCTTCGCTGGTCTATCTAATAGTAACTTGACTTACTCAAGGTAAGTCAAGTAGGTAGGTATCTGTCTATGTACAATCGAGGGTTCTGTCTAAGAATCTTCGTAGTAGACTGGACCCCGATACTGTGACCCGCACACAATAAAGAGATCCAAAAATCAGGCTAAATGTCAATCGAAATCAAGGAAGTGGATAAAGAAGAGCATGGATAAATCCAAAAGGTAAAAAGGATAAGATGCCCGCAATCTATTGGATCCAAGCTTTCGTTGTCGGGTTTCCAGAAACCTCCTCCACCTGGAGTTCAAAGTTCAAAGTGAATCCCCTTTATTGGAAGGCGTTCCGGATTTCCAACTGCATCTGGCCATCGACCACGCCCTTGATGCTGATGCTTCTCAGATCCTCGACGATCCAGTCGGCACCGGCTTCTTGGAGCTGCGCAAGCGTGTGGGTCGTCGTGAGCGCAATGACTTTGAACCCGGCCGCCTTACCAGCCCTGATGCCCGACGGCGCATCCTCCAGAACTACCAGAGACGAGGAATGCTCCAGACCCAGGCGCGTCCGACCAAGCAGATAGCACCGGGGGTCAGGCTTGCCCAGCTCGACATCTTCCGCCACCACCAAGACCTTGGGGTGGGCGAGGTTCAGCACGCCCAGCCAGCCGTCCACCAGCGCACGCGTTCCAGAGGTCACCACGCCCCAGCGAGCGCCGGCGTCGTCCAACGCTGACATGAAATACCGCGCCCCGGGAATCTCGACGGCGTCCGACCCGTATTCCTTCGGGATGCGACCTTCGATGTAGCTGACATCTGGCGGTTGAGAAAGCAACTGGTCAGTCTGCTGTATGCTGTATGTGGTAGATGGACGATAAGGGAGAGTGGTGGTGGTGGTGATGGTGGTGGTTTCAGGTTGGAGTTTCTCAATCGAACTGCAGAGTGTCCAAAGGAATACACTTACACTCCCAATTGGCCTTCTTCGGGTCGTACAACTGGATCGTGTCGATGCTTCGGCGGCCGTGGGAAGTGGCCAAAATGGTCTTGGGGTCAACGCCCAACTCCGCACCGATTCTGCAAGTGATGATTAGGACGGATGGCGTTTGGTTACACGGAGGGAAGTGGTGGGGACGAACTTGTGCCAGTGTTTCACAATCGCTAAAGATCAGATGTCAGTGCATGGTTACAAAAGAGGGGTATGTGGGAATGAGGAGGGGGGACTGACCATCGGTTGAGTCGACGATAGTGCCGTCAAAGTCGGAGAGTAGTCCGTCAAAAGTGTGGACTTGCGGAGGGGCAGAGAAGGAGCCGGATGGTCTAGACATGATAATGGCGGGGGAAGTAGGACAGAAAAATCCAGGGCCAACACAAGGTGGGGGTAGAAGGAATGGAGGACAACTCAAAGGATGTGAGTAAACAGATGTAAGGAGTGGACACAGTCAGCACCGCCAGTCAGCAAAAGGAGGGACAAAAGGGAAAAGAAAAGGTGGGTTTCAGGCTTCAGGCAGAAGGAGTGAATGAGTTGGTAAGTCGTGAGAGAGAGTCAGTCCAAAGGAACGAACGAATGGCAGCGCCGGATATCCATAGTCTGTAGTAAGAAAGTATGCCGGTATTACCGGAGATCGGTGTTTCATTGTGCCGGTTATCTTAGCGCCTTGCCGCCGAAATCTTCTTGGCGGCACAAAATTGTTCGGGCGGATCAGAGTGAGTCTCTGTGCTTTGGATCGCCTTTTTGCTCAGAGACGGTTTAGGGGTTATTAGGCAAGATGGTCAAGCTAGGTATGTTCGCTTCATTAGTATCGCCATTGTCCTCTGCTAACCCTTCCTTCAGGCAAAAACTCCAAGCGGGTTCCCGTCCGCCTACGACACAAGATTGAAAAGGCCTCCGCGGCCAAGCAACGCAAGCAGAGAAAGCTTGCAAAGAAGGTACACCACTCCTCTTGCATGTTGCTGCATAGTCACTGCTCATACTAATGCTGCTTATAGAACCCCGAGTGGCGCTCCAAGATCAAGAAGGACCCCGGTATCCCCAACCTGTTCCCGCACAAGGACAAGATCCTCCACGAGATCGAAGAGAAGAGACGCTTGAGGGCGGAGGAACAACAGCGCATCCGCGATGAGGCCCGCGCTCGTCGCCAGGCTCAGAAGGAGGGTGGCGCTGAGGAGGATCCTGTTGATGCCAATGTCATGATTGATGAGGACGATCTGATCGACGACGATATGGACGAGGATGTCGGTGACTCCTCGAACCCCATGGCGGCGCTGCTTGCTTCCGCCCGTGCCAGAGCTGCCGAGTACGAGGAGGAGCACTCCGATGATGAAGACGATGAGATGGATGAGGACGACTCCGACGACGAGGATATGGACGAGATGGACCAAGACGAAGAAGGCGGTGCCACTCTGGACGTCTCCGCCCCGATCACCCAGAGCACTTCGAAGGAGAGCTCGCGACGGGCCTTCGACAAGGTTTTCAAGCAGGTTATTGACAACGCCGATGTGGTGTTGTACGTTCTGGATGCCCGTGATCCCGAGGGCACTCGGTCCAAGGAGGTGGAGCGCGAGATCATGTCCGCGGACGGAGGCAACAAGCGATTGATCCTGATCCTCAACAAGATCGATCTGGTTCCCCCTCCGGTTCTCAAGAACTGGCTGATCCATCTGCGCCGCTACTTCCCCACGTTGCCTCTCAAGGCCTCCAACGGCTCGGGCAACGCTCACAGCTTCGACCACAAGCAGCTGACCGTCAAGGGCACCTCCGAGACGCTCTTCCGCGCGCTCAAGTCGTACGCACACAACAAGCAGATGAAGCGGTCCATCTCCGTCGGTGTGATCGGTTACCCCAACGTCGGCAAGTCGTCCGTCATCAACGCCCTGACGGCCCGTCTGAACAAGGGTTCCAGCAACGCTTGCCCCACGGGCGCCGAGGCCGGTGTGACCACCAGCCTGCGGTCCGTGAAGCTGGACAGCAAGCTCAAGCTGATCGACTCCCCCGGTATTGTCTTCCCCAACTCGAGCGACAAGGCCAGCAAGAAGAAGAAGAAGCAGGAGGAGCACGCGCGTCTGATCCTCCTGAACGCTGTTCCCCCCAAGCAGATTGAGGACCCCGTTCCCGCCGTGTCGTTGCTGCTCAAGCGCTTGTCGACATCGGACGACCTCATCTCCAAGCTGCTGCAACTCTACAACATCCCCCCGCTCATCCCGACCGGTGGCGACCAGACGCACGACTTCCTGGTCCATGTGGCCCGCAAGCGTGGTCGTCTCGGCAAGGGTGGTGTGCCCAACATCGAGGCTGCCGCCATGACGGTGATTAATGACTGGCGTGATGGACGCATCCAGGGCTGGGTTAACGCCCCTGTGCTGCCGGTAGTGACTACGGCAGAGGGCGCGGCGGCGCCGGCCGAGGGTGTGGATACGAAGCAGATTGTGACGGAATGGGCGGCAGAGTTCAAGATTGAGGGATTGTGGGGCAATGGGGAGGATGATGAGATGGCCGAATAGATGTTTTTCTCATGGATACCAGGCGTTATGGTTCTTAAAAGGTAGATAGTGTCAATTGCGATGAACATATACCGGACCAAGTTAGTATGTCAATTATAGCAGTAATGCCAAAGCAATTAGCATTGAATTATTAGCAAATATGTATATGTAGTAATTCAAATAGTACGGTAGTCATCAGCAGTATGATGATACTAGTACTATAGTGGTTGACCAGGCTCAATTCCAACATTGAGCAGTGTAGAATATCCAGATCAAAATATATAATTGGATGGCACCTCACACCTAACACAACTCACCACTTCAACCTCTTCATCTCAACTAAAGTAATAATATATAAACAATCAATGAAACACATCCAAATAACCAACAACATAAAACAATCACCAAATCCGAAATAACCCATCACACTACCTACCCAACATACGAAGTTAGTAGTTGCAGAAAAGAAACCTTATCACCACCACCCACCCGAAGCGATACGATACGATAATCACCCCCAAAGATTCCCTCCGATCCACACGCGCCGCTCCTCCGCGTTACTGTCGCGTCACAATCCATTTCTGCGCAAGGAATTTTTTAACGAACCAACATCAATCAATCACTCACCACGATACCCCTTCCATTTTACATTTTTGCTTCACCCACACGATTAACGACCACCAATTAAAGAAACCAGAAATACAGAAAGAAACACAAAAGGGAAGGAAAGAAAGAAAGAAAGGCACCACCATGCCCCGAAAATCAACCAGCAGCAGCACGCCCGGCGACGACGGCGCAGCAGAACAATCCCAAATACACTCTCAATCCCCCTCAGATATCGTCCACCTCCCCGAATCAACAGGACAGATGGTCGAAGCGACAGAACAACAACTTAAGGCCCGGGCGGAGGGGGGTGTGAGTATTGAGGTGTGTATATCCATCCCTTCCATTCCTCCCTCTTTCAAATTCAAACCTATATATATATAAAACGCATGATATAACTAATATATACTGATGGGAAATTGTGATAATAGGACTACCTCCTCCCCCGCTCTCTCACCCTCCGACTAGCAAAATCCGTTCTTCCTCCGAATACATCCATACAGAAGGATGCGGTATTGGCGATTCAGAAGGCCGCGACGGTGTTTGTGTCGTATTTGTCGTCGCAGTATGTTTTCCCCCTCCTACCTTTCCTATTCATCTCTTTAGATCTTTCTGCATCCAGGAGGAAAATATATTGACATTGGGGCTGTGTATAGTGCCAACGAAGCAACCCTCAAACGAACCGTCGCACCATCAGACGTCTTCAGCGCCATTTCGGAACTAGAGTTCGAAGGGTTCCGCACACGATTGGAGCAGGAGTTGGAGGCGTTTACGGAGTTGAAGGCGGGGAAGAGGAGGGCGAAGAAGGGGGATAACAGTACTACTGCTGCTGCGGCGGAGGGAGTGGGGAAGGGTGGGGATGCTGAGGATGAAGAGGAAGATGGGGATAGAGGGGTGAAGAGGGTGAAGCGGGCGGAGGAGAAGAAGAATGGTATTGGTGGTGGTGGGGAGGAAGAGGAAGGGGATGGGGACGAGACGCAGGAGGAGCATGAGCAGGAACAGGAGCAGGATGATGAAGAGGAAGAGGAGGAGGAAGAGGAAGAAGAGGACGACGAGGAAGAAGAGCATAAGGATGATGAGGATGATGATGAAGAGAATGATATTGATCGCGTGGAGGATTTGGATCGGGCGAAACGGCCGATGAATCCGGATGTGGAGGGGGATGAGTCGGACAGTGAGGATGAGGATGGGCCGGGGAGTCAGTTGCGAGGGGATTTGGGACTGGGTTAGATTGTGTTTCATGATGATTATGTGTGTATGGTATGGTATATGTCTTGTCTCTGTTTACGGCTGATGGTTATGCGGCAACGAAATGGATTGTTGCATGATATCACTTCTACTCCATATCCAATGTACAATGTGTTGATACCCAATTCAACTTCATCACAACCAGCTGCTCATTATATTCACCACGTGGGGACTCCTTGAACTCCGCACTCACAACGCCCACAAGGGCTTGCCTATGTTGTACAATCATTGGTGCAGTTGACGCCACAAATCAGAAGAGTACCCAAGGGACTCCAACCAGCTATATAGCTGCTGCTTGAAGCAGTGAGGTGAGCCCAATTGACATCTTCATTATCCCACCTAAACGCCATATCCCATAGTCTATCATTGGTATCGCCATTAACTGAAATTGAAAAGACTCCCCAGGAAGGCCTTAAATGTAAAATAATAATAAAGGAGAAGAAAAAGAAGAAAAGAAGACGGGAAGACGCGCTGACGCAGACCCGAGCTGAGTCATGCGGTCGGCTCGTTCAGTAACAGATTCATTCCTCGGGGAATAGAGTCAGGAGAAATGGTCTCGTTCTGTCGCCACCGACCGCTTGGTGGAGGAGTAGAGGCACCCTTGCCCACCATTTTGGGGAACGTCTGATTCGGTCCGTTGTTGCGAGCAGCGCCCGGAGCCAACGGATGCATCGCCTTGGTGTCGTCCTTGTCCAGCTTGGTCGACTTGTCACTTGTGGCGGCTTTCTGAGCCTTGGTGACCCTTCCGAAATTGTTGATCTTGGAGTTCTTCGCTGGCTCGGCCTTCTTTGGTCGTCCTTTAGGCGCAGCCTTCTTCGGAGCCGCTTTCTTCGGAGCAGCCTTCTTTGGCCCGTCTGTCTTGGCCGCCTGCAGCACATCTGTAATGCTCCGTCCGTTGCTGGCGGGGTTCGGGCGACCTTTCTTCGCCAAAGGTTTGGATTCATCCTCATAACTCGACGATGGAGTAAGGAAGCCTGTCGGAGTGGGTCGTTTCTTGCTGGGGGTGACAACCACCGACACCTCGCCTTGTTCCTTCTTCACTCGTTCCACTTCCGAAGAATTGCACTCATCAAACACGTCGTCCTGTGCATCCCACCGCTTCAGATTGGCCAGTCGCGCAACTTCCTCACAGTCGCCCTTGACCATTAGATCCCAGCAGTCCTCAAATTCCTTGCCGGTGGGGTACTCATTGTTGATCCACATGGTCACTCCGTTACGGCGACTCCGGATGACGGAGCAAAGACTCTTTACCAGGCGACGCACTCCGGGAATTTTCAGACTCGTACCGACCACAATTAGGGCGTCCGGGCGGGAACGAATGTCAGCATTCATGACGGACGTGATGGCCTCCTCGTCCGGGTTGTGCTCGTTGTACAGAACAATGCGAGGTCTCATCTTGCCGATACCATGGCTACGTTGGCCGGTTTCCATACGGAACTGATTGTTACGGCAGCACTCCGGGCATTCGGGGGCATCGGGACGGTCAAATAAGCCCGCATCGAAGTCACTCAGATGTCGACATTTCTGGCAAACCATCTTGTCAAGACTGCCATGCAATTGGATGGTACGTGGCCAGGGCGCTTTGACGTTCAACGGGATCTGCGTGGCCAACGGAGGCATTGAGGTCTCAATGCCATCGATGTTTTGTGTGTAGAGACGTGTGAGACGGTTCTCCTGGCCCAGTCGCGCCAGCATGTGGTGGAAAGCTGTGGGAGAGGTCTTGGCTGCTTCCTCAGACAGCGACCGTACCATGTCCTGGAAGGAGGCGGTCAACGCCTCATCCTGGTAGACGGCTGCATCGAACAAGAGCTTGCCCGATGCTTTGAGGTTGTGTTTCTTCTGCAGAGTTTTGAAGAGACCGTCGGTCGAGCGGAAATCAGGAACTATGATAGATTAGAAAATACGAGGAAAAGAGGCAAGAGCGGACAGTCGCGTGGTGGTGACAGAATCAGGAGTGGGGATGGGAAAGCATACTTCCTGCGGAGGTGGAGATACCCGCACCGGCGATGACGACAATTTTGCGGTGACGCTGAATTGTTTTGACGAGATAGTCAATTTGCGACTGCTGTTCAGTGTAGGACAAGCCGGCGGTGGCCGACAGGTCGAGATGCTGAGTCCGGCGTTCTTTGGGGGCGGCGACCCGACGCTTCTTCCTGGCGGGCGGCAACTCGTCTTGGCTGCGGGCGGCGCTAGGCTCATCCGCGTCCTGCGACGGGGGCGGCGACGGATAGAAACCAGGCGGTGCCAGAGGTGATGCCGGCGCTGAGCTTAAACTCGAGCAATCCGAGTCATCGTCCATGCCTAATGACGCCAGAAGGCTTTTCGGAGACGAGCGGGAGGAGTTGGTGGTAGAGTGTGTAAAAGTAGTGGTAGTGGAGGTGGTAGTGGTAGATGAAGTGGTGGCAGTACGACGGGGCGCCATTTAGGTCAGGCCGTCGCGGTGACGAAGCAAACAGCGAGCACAAAGAGATCGGGGGGAGAAAAATTGGATTTCGAGGGTGGGAGGGAAAAGACTCAAGGAGGGCTCGCTGTTCACGGAAAGCTGGGGGGGATCAAAGCTAGATATCGTCCCGAGAGAAAACCATGGAGGACCGGAAAAGAAACGGAAAACATCAATTGACAAGTGGGAATGACGGTAAGGGGGATAATTTCGGACAGATATTGCTTCTTTGTTTTCCCCTGTCGTTCACGTCTGGCTCCCTGACTTCGGGCGGAGGTAGTAGCGAGAAGGGAGTTGGGTGGAAGAGGAAGAAGAAGAAGAAGAAGAAGAAGAACGACGAAAAGAAGACAATGGAGGCAGATGAAGAAGAGGAGGAATGGGCAGCACAGAAGGAACCGCCCCGTGACTGGGACAGCGCAAGTCTGGGTCGAGGACAGCAAGTGGTGAGGTCAAGTGGAAAACGGACGGAGAGGGAGAGCGAAAGAAAAGGGCTACTAGTAGCAAGCCAGCACAACTAGAATGGAACTGACTGATTGCTGCTTGGGAGTATTGCAGCAGGTTCGACGGCAGGCCGGTCAGATCCTCTCGCTTGCAGTGTGTTTATTTTGACCCACGGGTATCGCTCGGGAAGAGTCGATGAAGGCTCTGCATCAAAGAGGGCTAATGGGGAAATGGGGGGAGATTGAGGTAGAGGAAGAGAGGGTTGACCTGCAGCAAAAACACAAACTCGGGCAACGAAGTGGTATGCTCAGAGGAATGTGTCTGGAAATAAGAGGGGTAGATAGATATGATCGCGTGTTGATCAAGTTGGGATGAATGCCGGTGGGAATGATGATATTGCTCTACTACACCTAAATTTACTAGTGTTTGGGACATGCTACTACTATACTGCTATGCTACTAACACACACTTTGATTGCCAGTTACATTACATTGTTACGGGGTTGCAGTGACTATTGGGAATTTTCCCGTATCAACCCTGTATGGACAGCCCGGTGGGGGCAGGCTTTTGGGTGCATTTGGGGTTAACCTCGTCTCTTTTCTCCTGCAAATTCGGTTTTGTGCTGCCAATCTCGTTACCGATCCCGTACCGCGCTAAAGGGGGCTGTCGGCCTGGGGAGCTTCTTCCATTGGCCGTGGAAGCTTCACCCAATTCTCCGGCCAACCACAGCCCAAACATATACTTGCCCGTGCGAGGCAAATCCTCACCATGTCTTTCCCACACATTGGAGAGCTGGCGGAATGAACATAGAGGTCGGATATCCCTTTTGTTTAGTGAATATTTCCTAGCATAACCCGAGTGGGCTCGGCTGCAGATATCAGAATCCCACTTCGCGACCGTCATTCGCACTAGCCGGCCTCCGACTATCGTTCCGAATCCGTCGCGTCAAACGCTACGATTGTTGGGAAGGCTGAGCGTTTATTTCATAATCAGCAACCAGGGTCACGGGGATACCTTACGTATGCTCGTCATCTCCTTGCGGGGCTGACCATCTGCCAGTAGAATCTGTGATATAATTATCGTATAAATCGTGAACCCATACTAAAATCATTGCTGCTGCCTTTACCATGGCATTGATATTCACCTTCTGTCTGTGTGATCGAACCGGACACAGCATTATCCACGGACGAACCAGCGCGGGGTATTGGATGAAGCTACCAGTCAAAAATATGCTTGAGGCATTTGTCGGAAATTGCGGCGCTGTTCTAGCAAGAACTGGCATGATCCGGTTTTCCAGGATGCCGGATCTTCCACGGACTTTCGTTCCCCGCACCTGTATTATTGTTGAGTTGCGTTCTCTGCTATCTGAAGAGCGAACTTTAATGTAGATACGCCTTAATTGATGAGATGTATTTGCTAGTCGCCCCCGAGCTCTATGGAGGAGTCGCGTCGGTTATGTTCTCCCGCATCATCTGCCGGGCCTCGTGTTTCTTTCTCCGTCCGATCAGGCGCTCATCTTGTTGCTAGCAAGCCCACTGTAAGACTGCACTATGGCTGCAATTCAGAAAACATCCCTGCTATAGAGGAGGGTGCTATAATTTCGGCTTGGTTTGCAATATATCATCCGTCCGAGATGATCGGACGTTGTTTGCGGGAAGGTGGATGATTCGACAAGTGAGGCGGGTTGAGCCCCGCTCTTTAAACGGTCTTCTTCTCCATCTTGAACGATGTAATAGACGCTTTCCTCGGATGACATGTCTTTTAGCCCACGAATTAGGGAATGGGATATCATTAGATAGCTCATATCCATTACTGTACTAAGAAACCATCACGTATCATGCCCTTCCGTATCTGGTTTGAACATGTTTCTTCACAATGCCCTTGATGGCTGGCTTTTGCGACTATTACTTCCGGAGATTCCCCAGTTCACGGAGTTATGACGCATTTACTAAGAGACAGTGGTTATTGTATCTGAAAGGGTACAGCCGCAGCTGGCATTAGTGAGCAAGCGCTTGGTTGTAAGCCGACCACAGACCTCAAGCAAGTACTAGTGTTCCAAGGGGTAGTCATGATAGGGTTCACGATTGACGTATGTTGGCGGGAACTATAGGGAATATCTGCACGGTCGCCTAGCACAGACTTGGCCTATTGACAACTCCTTTGTTTTACATAGTATCCCCCGGTGCTAGAATAGCAACTGCCACAAGGTGGTCAAGGTGGTCGTGCAGCTCCTGGAACTTCCCTCCAGCAGCGAAGTTCAAAGATGAATGGATCTCGCCGATATCGTTGCGCCCATGGCGGGTGGGGCCGGTGTGATTGGTTGTCCTGGTTACGACAGCACATGACCTCACATGACGCTGACTAAGAGGCGCGGAGAGCTCCACCTGACCACTAGTCCCGAATAATGAAACTATCATCTTGGAGATTCAACTTAGCCCATGATCATCCTCCCGGCCAAAGGGTAGCGTCTGGATCCGGGGTTTGAATGCCATGAGGGTTCTGTCTGCTATCAACTAAGCCCTTTGCATATCATTCAGTGCCCCTCTGTGGCTACACCCCGCCCATCTTACCTGCGCAATTGCCTGCCGAGGTTCAATTGTATCGAACTATGATATCTGAGTCTTGCGATCACTGGCCTCCCAAGACATTTTACTACCCCCATTGGATTTAGAGCTTCGCACCCCACAATGCCCTTAATGATGGACGATAGTATCAATGTTGACGATCTATTTGGCGAGCCCACCTCCCTCGAGCTGGGCCTGCCACCATCGGCTTCTTCTGCCAGAGGCCTTGCCCAGCGTCTGGATGAGATGCGACTGCTTGGCTGTTGCCAGTAAGTTACTGTCTTCTGAGGTGTCGCGAATTCTAGCTCTTGAATCTGTAGGCTAATTCTGTTTAAAGGAAGATTGCATGGTCTAAACTGGGATGTATTGCTTACATCTCACAAGACTCCTTGAGGGTGAAAGTCCGCCATCTGCAATGTCGACCGTCGGATGGCAAGTGGGTGCTCAGCGATGAGACCCCTTTGATGCCAATCACCGAAGCCCACGGCGGGCATGCTCTCACCCACCTGAGTTGGAACGAAGCTGGCTCCGATCTGGCCGTGGTCGATGTGACCGGACGTGTCTCAGTCTATCACATCCCTTTCGCCCTCAACAGTGTTAACGGCCTTCGACAGCCGGCTTTTTCTCCCGACGATGGGTCTCAAATTGTTGGCATGATGTGGCTGAATACCCAACGATCCGTATGTCGAACTGCGAACCACATCTGTCTCTCGATGCTAAACTTCTTAGGTGCATGCATTTTATCAAGCAGCCAAAGTACAGGGTCGCTGGGCTTACTCTCCGTTCCGTCGCCGCCCGATAGGTCCGTTTCACCCCGCAAATAAAGCGGCACTGCTATGCATCACACGTTCTGGATCAATGAAGCTCTTGTACCAGAATCCGGACGGTAGATGGGATGACATCTCTGTGGATCTGAAGAGCACGAGCTACTCAGATCGGTTGCTGTCACATGCTGCTCTAGTAGCAACCCAGAACGGGATTCTTATCGCTACTTACTCGATATGCCAAAAAATTCGCTTCTATCGGGTGCAGATCAACTGGAACCCGCCTCAATGGGACCCTGCACAACAGCCAAAGCAGACGCCACCCCAATTCCCAGTTCCTAGCTTCCGTTTCACGCACTCTAAGGTGGAAACGTCATGCACAGTGCCTGGGATGCCCCGGAATGACGGAGAAGAACCCGACATGATGCAGCAGTCGGTCTCAAATCCTCTTTATAGCCTCAGTCGCCTGGATATAATCCTCCCGGCCTCCGATAACGCTGCTGGGACTACAGCAAACCCATGGATTGTTGCGGTTTTCTCAACCCCACCCCAAGCTACTCCAGATCATCCTGGCCCGCAAGGACCAGCAAGTGTAATTGTACGATGGCAATTGGATACTGCTGCTTTCACCCTTCACCCCAAGTTTGATGAAATGGCCACAAAACGAAACAGTACTCAGATGAAGGTACGTGAAACATATCAGTACTTCATACAGACCGCGCTGACTCCTTGAACAGCCTAGACCTGTGCTGCGTCGCTTGGAAGACATCTACTCTGACCGCTATGTCATATCGGTGGACCAAATCGAGTACGGTAATGTGGTTGCTATCACTTACGATGATAGCTCCGTGTCTTTCTACGACCCGAAAACCATGGCATTGTTCAATGGTGTTGATGATGCGAATACGGTGACGGGCCTAGCTCAAGCAGGGTTTCACTATGCCCCAGACGCCTCAGGTTGTAGTGCCTCGTATTGTCGACCTGGAATGTTACTGACCGTGTTCTGATAGGTCAAGGTCAACACGTCTCTTTCTCACCGAGCGCATGCGCTGCAGTCATGCTAGACAACGACGGCCAGACGCACCTCAGGGTTATGGAGCATTCTTACGGAGCCGAAAACGGTCTTTACGATGAAAGTGCGTTTCTCCTTTCTACCAGCTCAACTATCTGCTAATAAGGTTTCGAACTTGGCAGACAAATTTTCTGCAGCCATTGCATCACTCACATTAGCCTTCTGCCGCGGATGTGGAAGTGAAGTCAACACAGACGATATCCTCTTAATTTTAATACAGCAACTCTCTCAGGGTTCGTACCATCTTTCATCCCCGTCGATCATCAATTCTAACGCTTGCTACCAGATGCCCAAATCACGTTCATCAACGAAGTTTACCGCGCACTGCCCATCAACTGCAATTTCACGGTCGAGCAAGAAAAGCTGATGAACCACCCCTATATTCCCAAGTGCCTCAGTATACAAGCTGCTCTGGGATTTGCCAATAAGTACAAACCACGAAGTTTTGCCTCTTCTGTCTCTTGGTCGATTCTTCAGCTTCGCCACGCCGCCATTTTATACCCATTTTTCTTTCAGTACAACAAAGGGATTCAGGCAGAGCCACATGATCCTGGTAAGCCAGTTCACATCGACCTTCACGGAAGCTGCTAACAGCATGTCTCATATAGACGTCTTGCGTATGATGCTCGGAAACACCAGATGGGCACTTGACTTTTCTCTCTATATACTAAACGAGCTTTTCGACCTCGCCGATGAATTTGAAAGTGTTTCGGCCGATCAGGAAGCCTTCAGCCAAAAATGTTGGTCAAATCGTACTCCGAAAATTGTCAACTGTACTAACTCCCCGTAGTGAAAACCACAAACTCACTAGCTCTCATCATTCTCCTCTCAAGCATGTCCCGTGCTTTCTTGCGCTTTATCTGCCGTGGTCTGCGTGGCATCCACGCGGGCTATACGAACGCATCTCTAGCCGGGGACTCTCGTCTACAGTACGCAGAAATTTGCCAAGCATTAGATGCCACGCCTGCACGAATCGATGTATACGAAAAGTTCCTTTCGGCGGTCGATTCGGCCGTACGACACGCCTACCATGGAGCCGGTTTTGGTGACACTGAACGCCCGGGGCCAGAGAAGGAATTACTCGTCAACGCCCGCATTCCTCCTGTCCTCGTTGCGGCTGTCTCAACAATCCTTCGACAAACGGTACCAGGACTCAAGTCCGACGTCGACCGCATGGCCATCTACATGCACGACTACTCGTGGCTCGGGTTCGGTTCCGACCGACGCTCGGAGTTATATCGGCGCACACGTGAAGTGGATATCATCAAGAAAACGCCTATCCGGATGACGATCGCACAAGGCTCGAATGGACCCCAGCTTGGGAAACAGAACAGCCAGGGAGTCCTTCGACGGCGATGCGTCCGCTGCTGCGATGTATCTGAGGGGACATATCCACCTCGCTCAGTCCTTGCGTTCCGCATGATATTCAAGTTGGGCCATTTGCGATCGTGCATTTGTGGAGGAATGTGGACTCTCGAGTCAGGTCTGAACGAGGTGGGGAAGTAGAAAGGGCTTCGACCCTGGCGGTCGTTAGCAGTTGCTTTTGGGAATTTACATTGATACCAAAAGGTTAGAATAGAATGATTAAGGCGTGTGGTATAATAGCGTATATAGAAGCAAACACGAATGGACAAGTATTACGATGTCAATTGCCTCCACCGTTGACTGGATCTGTGAGAAGGCCAAAAATTGAGACACCCCACCATCGACCTTATACAGTATTTACCCAATACGAATCGTTGCGTCGTACAAGATATACTCTAGAGCTTAGTAGAAGCAGAAAATTCTACTCCGCAACTACCACAACACCAATAACATAAATCTTTTATCTCATGTCATGTCAAGCAAGGCCTTCATTTAAAAACATCGATCTGCATCTTTTCTTTTTTTCTAAGATACATAATCGATTTCTTTTTTCAAAAGAAACCGTTTTGATGAATCCGACCCCCCTCACGGCAAGGTTAGGTCAACCCGTCATCATTAAACGACGTTCCCGTTAACTCCATCCAGATCCAGAGACGACCCCGTCTTTAACATTTAAGCCTGTTTAGATACCAGTTAGCTAACGGCCCTTTACTTCACCCCGTGGCAGATTCTGAACAAAGTCAGATATGTTGGGTAGGTCGTACCTTAACAGCGTACTTCCGCTGGGGGAAGTGGATCTCCTGCTTGCGCTTGCGCTCGGTCTTCAGGGTAGCCTCGTGCTTGGTGAGACGGCGGCGGAGAGCACGGGTGAGCTTGGGGCGGAGGTCAAGAGGAGTGTACTTCTTGCTCTTGTAGAACAAGCGGAGCTGAGCGCGCTGGTTGGCGTTGATGACGGTCAGAACGCGAGCGATCGACTTGCGAACGTCGTGGCTGTTTAAAAAGATGGTATATCAGCATCCCTGTTCTTCATTCTTTCCTGATTTTTGTGCGCATGTGTGCCCATTTTCTTCATGTAGGTGGTGGTAGTAGATATGTTGAATTTTGCGCCCTGTCGGAAAGTTTCTTCTCGGTTTGGATTTTATTTTCTTGTTGTTCGTGGTCGTGTGTGCCCCTCGTTTCTTGTTGGTGTGTCGGTTTCATGGGTTGTCGAAATTCCCCTTGACTGGTATTCGTCTTCTGATCTTTCGGATTGTCGAATTTTGTTGTCGTTTCCCTTTCTCCGGCCGTATTCCACAATCCGACAGGTGCAAATCTCATATCCTTCCCACCACACACGCATACACAACGCACACATACACACACACATGAGGGGTTCGCAGGAAAAATTGATTCAAACGCACATTCTGTGGGTCTTCGAGGAGGCACCGCCAGCGATCTTCTGGACACGGAGCTGGCTCAGCTCGGTCTTCAATTCCTCCAGCTGCTTGGTGAGGTCATCCTTGCTCTTTCCCCAGAGCTGACCAGCCTTGACCTTGGACGACTTCAAATAAGAAAAACACCGGTCAGCATTTCACGCAGAAATCAAAAAACTGCGAAATAGCAGCATGCGGCGCAATTCAACATACCATGGTGGGCGGCTTCGTGTCGTATCGTACGGGTTGTCGACGTGAGGATTGAAGATGGACCGGGTCAATTTGGGATGTTCGTTGTGGGACTAGGGTTTGATTTTTTCTGGGTGTGCGGCGGCTTAAGCGGGCACGTGATTGTGGCTGGTGGTTGCCGTGGCCCAGTTGGGTAGTAAGTAGTAAGTACTGCCGCGCCCCCCGGGATGACGCCGCCTCCGTCCGCCGCCCCGGCCGCCCTGACTTGGCCGTGCGATAGTGGGTTAGACTAAGGCTGGCTGTCGCTGCTGCTGCTACTGCTGTCGTTGTCGGTTGTCGCTGTTGCTGTGCCGCCGGTCGGATCATGTTGCGTTGGTTATGACGGGGTTCATTCTGAAGCTTGATTTACTCTCTTCGTTTTATATTCCCGACTTGACAGTGTCTTATCGTCGTTATCGGTGTCGTTGAATAACTTCCAGTCTCATTCTACTGCCTACACACACACATCACTGGCATTTACCTACCTACCTATCCACCTATATACACCCTCAAATTGTCGTAATCATCCATCATCATCATGGCCACTTCAACCGGTACCGGCTGGGCTCAGCTCCGGCAGCAAGCCCGATCTCTCGAAACTCAGGTACGATCATCGCTTCCTGTCACATAAGATGTGTCCTAACATTGTATATACATCATAGACCGAGAACCTTTTCCACACATACTCTCAATACGCCTCATTAACAAAGCTCCCTCCCACACCCTCGGAGGAAGAACAGCGGATTGAATCGCAGCTTAAAGACCTCCTAGAACGAGTACGCATCTACTCTCTTTCATCACCATCACCTTCTCACTACTCCATAACATCACATGAACTAACCATCAATCACCAGCGCGACTCCCTAATCTCCCAACTCGCCCGCCTGCTCGACTCCGAAGCAGCCCTCACCTCCTCCGCCCTCAAACAGAACAACCTTTCCCGTCACCGCGAAGTCCTCCACGACCACCGTCGCGAACTCCAGCGTCTCAAATCCGCCATCTCAGAGTCCCGCGACCGCGCTAACCTCCTATCCTACGTCCGCTCCGATATCGATGCCTACCGCAACTCGAACCCGGGTCAGGCAGAAGCAGATTACATGCTTGAGGAGCGGGGTCGGATTGACGAAAGCCATAATATGATTGATGGGGTCTTGAGTCAGGCGTATGCTATTAATGAGAACTTTGGTCTCCAGCGGGAGACGCTGGCCAGTATTAATCGACGCATTGTGGGCGCGGCGAACTCGGTGCCCGGGATGAATGCGTTGATTGGGAAGATTGGGTCGAAGAGGAGACGGGATGCGTTGATTTTGGGGGCTTTTATTGGGTTTTGCTTTTTGATGTTGCTTTGGTTGAGGTGATTGCTTGATTCTGTTACTTTGTCTGAAGCATGTTGTGATTCTGTTGCGTTGTCTATTGTGGGATTGGGATGGGCGTCTTGAGGAGTGAGATTTGTCTCTTCTTTCTATTCTTTCCTTTGTCTATGCGCTGCTTTTGCGTCTATACTATACAGAGATTAATGGTGGGGGGAGATTTGTTTCCTGGTGTCGGGTCAGTGCTGTCTGGAGCATATTCCACGCTCTCACTCAACACTCACGCAAACACCCTGGTATGTACATACACAGAGTCCAGAATCCAGTATATGAACTGGGTGATCCCGTACCTGTCCAGCCATCCATGGCACACCAAAGCCATCTAGGGCATAACAACCCGAGGCTTCTTCACAGCCTCACCCTGACCCTTCGCACCCTCCCACTCCTGCGCCGGCATCTCCGACTGCAAACTGACCTTCTTCTCCTGCACCAACTTGCGCACTCCATTGTTCAGCGCCTCCAACTCCACCGTCTCAGCAGGCCCACTGCCCGCCCACCGAATGCGACAATTCTCATCCAACAAATACACATACCCGACCTTCGAGTTCAACATCCCAATACTCTCCTTCAACCCATCATCCAACCCCTTCCGCACCAGGAAATACCGCTCATGCTGCTCCTGCGGCAACTTGGCCCGCATACGCCACATGAACATCTTTACCAACCCGGCCTTCAACGCATTCTCCTCCAGGTTGATATCAACTTTCTGCACCATACCCTCTCCTTCCGAGGAAATCGCCTCCCAAAGACCAGGGTTCTGCTCCTTGCCCGTGAAAGTAACGACCTGTGACTCGGCCCACACGCTAGAGAAGAGGTTCACGATTGTGATTTTTCCGCGGAAAAGAGTCGTCGTGTTCTGAGGTTCCTTTGGCGAGGCGAGAGTGATGCCGTGCATGTTGGGGAAGTAGAGGGCTTTGTCGCGCTTGAAGAGGCGAGGATTTGACATGAAGGTTTTGCCTTCGTGGTAGCGCATGTTCGACCATTCGCGGAAGTAGGGCTTTGCGACTTGTCGGGTTCTGTAGTTTATTATCGAAATTTAGTATTAGAGCTTGCATATAAAAGAGTATATAGGCTCTGGGAATGGAATGGTGACGTACAGTTCCTTCCGTCTTTCAAGATGTCTCTCGTAGTTGACAAAGTCATCTCTCCTCTGTCGTATAGACCGGTCATCGACACCCGTGTTCTGCCCTTCTTGTGGTGGGATCACCGATCCAATAGGTCGGTCCAATGTCGGAGGTATGAAGTCGTCATCGCCGGGCTCGCTAGTCGGGGAGGGCACCTTGGATGCTGTCGCTGAGTAGTTCGCTTGGAATTGAGCTACTCTGTTGGTCTTGTTCGCGAGAGATGAGATGGGGGAGGGTGTTGACGGCTTGGTTTCACTGCTGTTGCTGGTGGTGTCGGGTTTGCTGGCGTAGGAACGCAGCGCAGCGGTTCGGGGCCGGAGAGCGGCCGCACTGCGCAATTGGCAGCTGAGGCAACGAGTGCTCTGGAGGAGCGTCGGCTCACTTAATGAGGCTAGAAGCCCTGTGCGCTTCCACATTGTTGGAGGTGAGGTATCTGTGGGGAAGTAGTAATTGAGGTGGGTGGGTTGGTTGGTTGGTTGAATGTTCGGCAGACTCTCTTCACTGGACTATCACTGATAATTGTTGCTGGAGATCCACTCGCCGAACAGGCCGAGTTTAATTGGCGGTCCCGTGACTTGGCGACATTTTCGTGACTGAGAATCACGCGTCACTGATGAGATTCGTGTCACTCTGGAATGGATTATTTTGAATATTCTGATGCTGCTGTGGATGGATGGATTGTCTGACTGCATGAACTCCGTATTCATGGCTGCTTCCGTCAGATGATACTGTTACCTGCTAGGCAGCAGTGACGCAAGAACTCATGGCTCGCCGGATTTTGAGTCTCGGGACCTTCCACTCCACTATACCATGGCGACGGTGGTGAAGGACAAGGAGGCCTTTTTCAGGGAATTAGAGCGGCTGGAATATCCCAGTGATGGGGAAATTGAGGATTTCAGCGGTCTGGTGCATCTCTCGAGGAAGCGCTGTGAATGTCCTCCGTCTCATTCATTCACTCCGGCCTCAGATATAAAGGCTCCCGCGGCGCCGCCGTTGGTGAGAGCTTCTACGGAGCCTTTACTTGCTTCACCAAGTGTATCTGAGGTCAGCACTGAAAGGGAAGTTGTTACTACGTCTGATCAATCACCAACACCAGCTGTGACCAGATCATCCTCTACAGACGTGATGCCGCGGAGAGCCAGGACTAAAGGTGGTGGCAGGTCTAAAAGAAAGGGACGTGGGTTTAGGGCCTTTGATATTCCCAAACACCGGCAGATACTCAAGGGTCTCGTCTTCTGTCAGTACTATAACCTCGGATGTGTACCTCTAAGCGTTCAGTGACACTAATTCGAAGGAGTAGACTACCTCCCCAACGACGACAGAACAACACTTAGAAAGCTCCAAATGCAGCGTGCGCGTGAATACGGTGCCTCGCGAGCAAGGGAATGGAATGACACCATCACTCACGTCGTTGTAGAAAGGTGGTACACGTACGAGAATGTTATGAAACATTTCAAGAATAAGCCCATCCCGGTAGGTTTAGGAACTCATGCATTGTCTAGTCTGATACTAATGACTTTGAAGGAAAACGTTGCTCTCGTGGACAGTAACTATCCTCTCCTATGTATTGGGGCCCGCCAAATGTTGGACGCGACTCAAACTCGCTTTCGGGTCCGTGGCGCACCTGTTCCTGGGAAGGCTAAAGAATCCTCGCCTGCGCGTGAGCCCTCGTCAAACGGGTCGTTGCCGATAAAGCCAGCGAAGGCGAAACGCGGTTACATTGATACACAGAGCACCGATGACGATGCTGACAGTGAGCTGTCCAAACCGGAGGTCGACGAACACCTGGAAGATAAACAGATCACCTATAAATTGAACCAGGGTCGCGATGCTTTGGATGATGTGATCGAGGAAGTCCAGGCAATAAAGGACCTGGTAAGTTCCTCCCACTACGTACATCTCAAAGCCTTAGACTGACAAATGACTTAGCCCATAGGGATAGATTCAGCCGACGAGGCAGCAGCAGCCGATGACGACGAGACCTCCGACTCGTCAGACTCCGGGCCAGCGAAGAAGAAGCGAAAGACTATCGGAAAAGACGACTGGCAACAGAACTTCGTTTGCATGCAGAAGCACGACGCACAATCGAACTCGGAGAACCCCAACAGCAACACCATAGCCATGCTCCAGCAAATGCTAGAATTCTACAAGCGAACAAACGACCAGTGGCGCGTCCTCGCCTACCGCAAAGCCATCAGCGCTCTCCGCCGACAACCGCGTAAAATCAGCACCAAATTAGAAGCCCTAGCCGTCCCAGGAATCGGAGAGCGCCTCGCCGACAAAATCGAAGAAATCGTCTCCACCAACCGCCTCCGCCAGCTCGAATATGCCACCAACAGCCGCGAAGACAAAATCCTCAAACTCTTCACCGGCATCTACGGCGTCGGCATCACCCAAGCATCCATATGGCTAGCCGAAGGCTACAAAACCCTCGAAGACCTGAGAGTCAAAATCAAATTGACCGACAACCAGCGCATCGGCATAGACCACTACCGCGACTTCGCCCAACGCATTCCTCGATCCGAAGTCGAAGAACACGGCGAAATCGTCCGCAAAGCAGTCCAATCAGCCGACCCAGACATGCAAGTCATCATCGCGGGCTCCTATCGCCGCGGTGCCCCAGACTGCGGCGACATCGACCTACTAATCACCAAGCCCGACGCCGAGATCGACTACATCAGAAACGTGATGGTGGATACCGTAATGCCGACGCTGCGTAGGCAAGGTTTCATAAAGGCCAGTCTGGCCAGCTCATCATCCCGAGACGGGTCCAAATGGCACGGTGCATGTGCCTTACCACCACGACCACTCAAGAACAACAAACAACGGGAATATTATACAACTCCCGGCCCCTGGCGACGCATCGACCTCCTATTCGTCCCCGACGCAGAGATCGGAGCCGCACTGATCTATTTTACCGGCAACGACATCTTCAATCGAAGCATGAGATTACTAGCAAGCAAAAAGGGCATGCGGCTCAATCAACGAGGTCTCTACACGGACGTGCTACGCGGTCCTAACCGCGCCAAAATCAATGAGGGCCGATTACTCGAGGGCCATGACGAGCGCCGCATCTTTGATCTTCTGGGTGTGCCTTGGCGCCCTCCTGAGCATCGCATTTGCTGATTGATGCGTGGGTGGGTGGGTGGCTGTGGCTGCCACTTGACGGGTGACAGATAATATTTCTCGGAATTGTCGGGAAGGGTTCTACTTTTTTGCAGGTTGCTTTTGGTTGGGGGGAATTTTTCGCCAGACCGACTTCTCGGTGTGCGTCAGATGCGTGCAGGCAGCAGGGCAGGGGCGGCTGCCGCGAGGAGGGCCTGAAATGAAAATTCCCGCGTTGAGAAGGTGAGATGAGATGAGATGATGAAGGTTTGAGGGGGAGGGAAGGGGAGTGTGGGGGTGTCAAATTGGTAGATGGATTGGGAATGCAGCCATTTACTTGGGTATGTGTGGCACATGCGTTAACTATCTACTGCTTGTATTGTTCTTCTTCTAGGGGAGGTTTGCTTGCTTATTGTCCGGGAGGAAAGAGAGCGGGGGAGTGCGGTGAAAAGGCGGTCACGATCACTATCACTATCTCTTAGGAGTGCAACGATTCTTGGAAGCTTGATCGAACGTCGGTTGCGACCAAGGATAGCACGGAAACTATCTAAGCAATATTATATCCTACTAGATTGAACGAGCCTTTCCAGTTGCCGAACATGGTGGAAGGATAGGCGCAGGAATCCGGATGAAGTAAGTAGCCATTGACCTGGATGATTCATGCTTCCGGTAGATAATTACTATGCAGGATAGAAGGAATAAAGCTTATTGCTATGAAAGCTGTCATTGTCATATCTAATTTGAGCATCTTTGTGACGA